TACTTTGAAGCTTTCAGAATTTAACTAACTTTTACTGGGAAGATAGTGAAAGTTAAAGCAACTTAAAACACATGGAGTGTGATTATCTTACAGCTTCCTGAAAACTGTTGAGCCATTCCCGTGGTAGAATCTGACGATCCTACCATCCAGCTGAGCACTTCAGTAATTTGCAGCGAGCTCTGGTATAATCACACTGTCTGACATCCATTAAAGATTTTATTATAAACTTATGTTGTCCGAATGTTTATAGGTCACAACAACCAAAAGATAAACAATGAACTATTGAAGGAGTTCAGAAAGATATCCCTTCAACATTTAAATTTATAATACTGCACTTTTAATGATATCATAACATGAAAAGGACAAGTTTTCAGTATGTCAAAGAGCCTTATTATGGAGACATACAAAGGTCACTAAATACATTCTAGACCTTGTCATCAGATGGAACTGTATGGTCAATTTCACATTTAAGCTGCTTTGACTCTAGGACAAGAGCTCCTGGTGCCTACTGGGCAGGAGGCTATAGGGACCTCTGAGATGATCTGGAGACAGCAGTGTATCTCTGCCCCTACTTGGATATGAACTCCAGTAGTCAAGTCTATTACCAGTTGCCTAGTCACTTTACTAACAAACCTATCTTGAAATATGAAGAAGAAAGTCTGTTGTACTGCTATGGAATTTGCATCAGCAATAAATAGACATGTACAACAATGATATATTGTAGAATTTTCAAAAATGAGTTTGTAAATACTGTACATGTATGTGGTATCATGTGGTATAAATTACTGAGATTACTTAGTATGAGCAAACAATATACAGAACAGTTTAAATATCATGAAATAAGAGAAACCAAAGGAAACACATCCCAGGCATGGTTTTTTTTACATTTTTAAAAATGATGCGGTAAAAGATTTAAATCACACAAATCAGAAAATTGACTATTATGGAAGAAATCATCATATTATCTACATATAATTATGTTTATTCCATTGAAATACCACATTAAGTGTTAAATTTCAATGATAATTTATTACGTTAATTGCAGGCTCTACCAGCCCTATTAACTCAAAGGAAGGCAAAATGTATATTAAAGTCAAAAGTTCAACTCTTAAAGCTGAGGAAGTCATCTTAATTCAACTTTTGAATAACTTCAATAGCAAATCTATATACCATCTAGTTAATACAGATATTTCTGACCCCCTTTCTCATGGTTGACTTACTTTTCCAATAATAATAAACATTACACATAAATGTAAACATCTTGTTTAGGAGCAGTCTTACATAGGATGAAATCAAATCTTGTTTTCACCCTGCAAAATTATAATTTCACTTTATTTACTATGAAAAGCCATATTCAAAGACATCAGTAAAGATTTAACAATATAATTATAAGTACAGTATAAGACTCTAATCTTGAGATTTATTAGGAAGGCAGGCATGGTAGCTGCATAGATCAGCAACTGTTGCCTGAACCAAAACACAGTTGCTTTAGTGCAGTCTGGTTGAGCCCTATACATGTATGCTAGCAGCCAGCATGTTCTGAACTGATGTTATACACCGTAGCTATGTCTGTTACCATCCCTTCCACACTTCACCCCTAACCCCCAACATGTGTCAAGCTTAGAGTCTCTACCAGGAAGCATCTCACCTGGAATGTAAGACTGCTCAATACTGCCACATGAATTCTTATTAATTTTATGCTTGGCAATAATATGTACTGTTTAGCCCACCATGAGAATTGTTAGATTGGTGTTTTCAACTTTTCTGGGGTCCATCTGCACTTCTACGATATGCCACTTGATATGGAAGGGAATAGCATGGGTGCATCAGTACTTCCAACTCTCCCAGTGTTAACATTAGAACTTCACTAGTGGTAAGGGGAACATTTTTCTAATATATAATGTTTTTTTTAAATTCACATTAATTCACATAGTGGGGATGGAGTCCAGCTGGGTCCACTCGGCACGTTGGCCACTGATTGACCTATTGTACCTGCCCTGGTTGATTATGATGATGGAGAATTTGGTGGAATGAAGATTGGCAGGGGAAACCGAAGTACTCAGAGAAAACCCACCCCAGCGCCACTTTGTCCACCACAAATCCCACCTGACCAGGCTGCTGCAGTTGGAAGCCAGCGACTAACCGCTTAAGCTATGGCATGGCAATACAAAATGTTACTGATGATATATATGGTTCTCACAGCAATGAATCTGAAGATTACATACAGCCTTCTGAGATGTGATGCCATGTAGTTTGGTAAGTAAGCACCATCATTTTGAAAGAACCTGCCATCTCCACTGCCATAGAAGACACTACACTTCAGACCCATGCAATATTCACAATGTCCTTCTATTAAACATAAGAGTATTATTGTGGGTTCAAGTCCCGATGAGGTCATTAGGTTTTTTTTAATTGACCTAATCCTTCCAGCCACACTATTGCCCTGGGGTCGATTCAGCCTCTAACAGAAATGAGTACCAGGAATTAATTAAATAATTTTCCTGGGGAGTATAGCGTGGCCGGCGCGTAAGGCTGACAACTTTACAACATGAATTTCTGTGATGCACTACATAACATTATTCATTAACTTTACTGTGTCTGGCGTTTGTTTGCTTATTTGGCTTACTATTGAAACCTGAAGATGTAGGCAGTATATTTTGAATTTCTGGTAAACTTCTACCAGACTATATGGCGTCACATCCCAGAAGGGAGTCTTATTTAAACTTTTTCATCCAGAAATTGGGGGATTTTAAATCCCGAGTGTTATGGAGCTGATTGCCTGATTTTAACTAGGAGATAACAGTATTATTATTGAAGAAATACAATGGTTAGACAACTGGACCATGAGTATAGGCCATTACAATAATTCAAAACACAGCTAAAGGAACAGTTTTCCCAAACCACCAGTGAAATACAAATTAACGTAATAAGTACTGGTACAATATCATTCTTTACTTCTTTTTACAATCATTATTCCACCAGGTTTTTCTTCACTTCCTGATTGTATGTCTGAAATATAAACATTTAGCCATTACTGTATGCTAGACAAACCGGGAGAGTTGAGCAGTAACAGTGTCCTCCATTAGACAAGCTATGTCTAGAGTTACAGTTTGATCAATTGACTACCAGGGAGTACTATCAAGTTGTAACATCACTGTACTACTCATCACTAAAGTACTATTACATAAATATTAACTGTTTCACTTCTGTGCACTGTCATTTCAAAACTTTGTAGCAAAATTGTTTAATTAAAACATTCTAGGCCACTTATCCTTCTGTGAAGGAAGAATCCGTTAGCCTGAATATATGTATTATCAATTATTATGAGCAACAACAGTTAAAGACGGTTGTCACTGATACAAAGATGCTTGTATATGATTAATATCAATGCTCCAAGATATGAGTGTACAATTTTGTACTGCTGAAGGAAATTAGATTAAAATAGTTGTTCATTTTGGTGTATCAAGAATGTGCTTACAACAATCAGAGTCAGTGCTCTTCTTCAGCCTGCATATGCTCCTATATACACTAGCAAATAATTGGTGTACACTGGAAAACTTGTCAGAGGTCAAAATTTGTGCGTATGCCAGTGCAGTATATGTTTTAACCCTCAAACTAAAAGTGGGCATGAAAATAATGGCAAATAAGATTTTAGGAAAGCAGCACTGGTCCCCAGCCATCAAAGAAACAAAGCATATCAATGTTTTTCTAACTAACTGGCATTGTTGAGCTTTGCGAGTTGAAACAAAAGTTTACACTGCAGAATGAATTACTAGTCAGTGATGACATTTCACACTGAAAATAAATATTAAGATGATAATTTTATCACTAGTACATTGATATGCGTAGAGACCTGGGTGCTAAAGAATTTGGGCCTTCTTTAAAATTTTACCTTACAACCCTGTATTCCACCCACTGCAAACGCTAAAGACACCAGAACTGTTCACATATCTGTTACCAACAATTTCAATTGCAAAACTTTTTTTAAAGGTCATAACTGTTTTCAACAAAAAGGTGTTAATATTATTATGTATACAGTGTAATTAAATTAGAGATGATGAAGACATACAGACAGTGGTATTAGCACAACAGTGGATATATCATATAACCTGTGTGAAGGTCTGTGGGGGGGAGGGGCTTGAGGACCAAGTGCTGCCAAGTCAATCCACATCAGAATACCTATGATAGCATCTAAATTTCATTAGAGATAGATAATGATGTGAACAGCAGAAAATAGCAGTAGTGAACTTTGTAAACTACACGGGTTTAACCATGAAGTGAACCAAAGCCATGAGCCTATGCTGCAGCTACAATTATACAGAATGCCCAGCAGGTCTCTGTGGTCTGTACACTTTACTTGATGACATATACAGTAGTAGCTTGGAACACAATTTAAAATTATCACTTCAGTGACAAAAATCATCTGTCATTAGCAATTTTCTTTTATGTAGGTTAGTGTTGGGACTATATAGTTAGCAACTGATAGTAAGACTACACAATTAGCAACTGATATAAATTAAAACTGAGTTTTGATATAAATATATTCTTAATATTGCAAAATGTACTGAGTGCTAATTTATGTTCAATGGCCTGCATAAATTGCAGTGACCATTTTTGGGCTGTACACCATGTACTGGTATTATGAATCATAACATTTTATGTCATTGTGCCTCATCTTTTCAGATTTAAACTAAACATATTAGAGGAAAAGATCTGTGTCTGTTAATGACTGTTCCATCCAGTACTTCCAAGGTGACAAATCTCACACTCATTTTCTGCATGCACGTGTAAATTTCCTTGAAGCTTGAATTCACAGTTCAATACTTGCAACATCTAGTTCATTTAAGTAGTGGAAAGTATGAAATAATCTGCATCACACAATACCTTATCATAACATCCAGAATATGCAGTATTACAGTAATTTTCAGCACTCTGTATATGAACATAATATGTAATACAGCTTCTCTTTTTACTTTTACAGCACCATTTTGCATTTCAGCCTTTTTGAACGCCCCAACATATGATATGCATGTTGGTAAACCATACTGATATGTTGCATCCAGATCACATCATATTGATTAATCAACTGTATAGACTGCTGAAGGTGACAAGATGTATTCCAAGTGTTCTTTTGCCTCTCTTAGTGACATATAAACAAACCTAAATTTATGTTATTGCAGCACACAACATTCATGTAAGAATTAAATATGCTTACTCATTACTTTTCGGGAATAACATGGCTATCAAACTAGGGGAATGCAGGCTGCATGTGGCCTGTCATATCATTTTGTGTAGCCTGCAAGAATAACCTTCCATTCCCCAAAACATACAGCAGTGCTTCCCTTCACTTGAGACAACCTGCATATTTAAGAGAACTGTCTCAGCTGTGATATAAAATTTTGATATAATTATTTACTAACAGATAATCTCTTTCCTGCTTGCTTTGACTTGCTATTATGAAGATAAATGTAGAGATATCTACTATTCCAAAAAAAAAAAGATTCTCTCTGCTTTGCCAAAAGCAAATTTTTTAGGCATACGAAAGCCTAGAGTTTTCAAGATATAAACAAGAAAGAATTTCTCACACCCAATTCAGAAGTTCATTTTTCAGTCTCAAACTCTGATAACTTTCTCACAATTGCTGCTGCTCTGCTTTCCAGTGTATGCTATCAGAAGGAATGGGTATGGCATTTGCCTAAATAAAATATGAGTTCTTTCCCCCACTTTTTTATGAGTTACAAAGTGTCATGAATTTTAATGCTAAATTTATGTAAGAGATTTTAGTGCGACCTCTCGGTGGATTGAAGTTGGATAGCCCTGTTATAGAACTTACAGGATGACATAAATGTGTGTAATTAAAGAATAGATGCAGAAATAGAGTGAAGTAATCAGGACCTATCATTGTGCAGCTTGACAGAGAAGTGGAATGCCATTTACTCAAGAGCAAATGTTTGTAGCTCAGTCTGCCATAAATCTGATGTTTTTATTTTTGTGTGAAAACATTGTTATAGTGCTCTAGTCTGTGTGAATTTTGAAGAATCAGTATTTAGGATTAAATTACTTATACTGATGGCAGTATTTGTTAATACTTTCAAAATGGAGCCTATCTAAACAGTGCATCATTACCCAGAAATCTAGATCTCAAAAATGTGCTGTGAAATCTTGAAGACTTCCATTAACTTGCAATTTGTATCCCAGAACATAAGTATCATTAAAGCATAAGAGAATGTAGTTAAATCTTCACAAGTGCCACTGGTTGTCTGTCTCTAATACTGGCACTGTGGGGAAGGATATAGATCAATCATAGATAAGCATACACCATACAAATATGTGTTGAAATAACCAATGAAGCACAAACAAAGCAATAAGGAAATCATCCCTTCCACATTTTCATCTCTTTATTTATGGTAATCACAGTGTCTTGTAAATTCTAAGATTATAGCAAGCTTCAACAGAAGAAAGATGCCTATTGGATGGTTTGAATAGAGATTTGGCATGTAGTGAAAAAGAAACTGGATGTTTCTTCCATATAATTAAAAAATGAAGCGTGCAAGCTGTGTATCTCCACTGGTTATTTTCAGAACTAACCAAGAATATGCGTGTGTCCACTTAGTATGTCTGCAGAGCCAACCATATGTATACTTAGTGCAAGTATCTTTCAGTTTTCTTTACATCAGTGCAAAATTTACTCATGTTCTCTGAACATTTTAATTTATGTGTCTGTTCAAAGAATATGAATTTAAGAATATTTAACCTTTCCTCCGGACAAAATCAAGAGGATAACAAGAAAAAATACTAATACCTGAAATATGGATAAAAAATATATGTTTCTACAAATGTAACTGCTAACAGTATTAAGGCTTCAGTATAGTGTTTCACAAACCTGATATGTGTTCACCAGAATAATGTTTACAACATATTTGAAAATTGCATGAGTTGAGTGTTCCATTTATTACTTGCAGCTAGTTGTATTCCTATTTTTGTTTTAAAAATGTGTTGGATCACTGAAGAGCACTGTGTAGTTCAGTAGAAGTTCATTCACATGTAGGAGGAATGTACTGCCTCCACCTTCAGAGTTGAAGAATGAGACAAGCAAGAAACCAACTTGGCTTACTTTTCAACCCTGAGATGGAGGCAATGTCTTTCCCCAAAATGTGAGTGGACTTCACCAAACTACACAGTGTTATAAACCAGAAGATCGTGGTCTCATCACTGTGAGAGCTTCAATCCAGTGGCTGAGTAACTGACTGCTCTGATACATAAGAAACATGGATGACAATGGATTAGTTTTGACTGGGGCATGTGTCATGAGAGAAAATAACTTGTTACAAAGTAAGGGCCTGAAGTACTTTTTGGGTTATTTAATGATGCCCTCAGTTTCTAGGCTACACAGCATCAGATGGTAGAATGGCTGATGAATTTAAACGGATTTGAAAGGAAGTGTTTATGGTGTAATCATGGCAGTATCCCAACATTTGCCTGGGAGGACCAAGGAGAATTATGAAAATTCTCAGTCAGGATAGCCAGTGTTCTGGCTGAGATTTGAACTGTGAACATCTCAAATACATGTGTTACCTGTAGACCAACCTGTTCAGTAAGATTCTGAAATACAGTTAAGTAACAGACTGTGTGTAGGGAGAAATAGTAGTCTCCCACAAAAAGTTGGCAACTTAAGAGAATAAAAGTAACCATGATATTGTTTTATGTTTCTTATAAATGTAAATGTTGTATCTTTATACACAATAAAGATCACTGAAATAGAAGGCTGGATTATCATAGACTACTGTTTATAGTACTAAAATTGTGGTAAAGCTGCTTTCATTTTTGCCTAGAGGGTTGAAAGGGTGTTTGGAAGACAAATCTATTAAAATTCATCATGAACATTTCAATGTTGTACCGTAATACAAATAATGTTTTATAGTACCCCTCTTATTTCTGTCAAGCTGCACACTGAATGCTTACATGCCACTCAATTACTCTATTTCTATTACAGCTTAATGTTTCCCTAATATACTTTTCATATTTATGTTACTGATTAGAATAAGCAAGACAAAAATTCTGAACACAGGCCAGGGAAAGAATGAACATGGGTAGTGGGGATTCAGGCCAGATCCCCCTCCCTACCTGCACTGCACACATTACTCCATCATACAGTTCAGTTTCATGTACCTGCCTTAAAAGGAGGGAGCTGTTTACTTCACTATCAATCATTAACTTTAATAAATAGAATAACTGCTGTACTAAATATTGTACTAAACTTATTTAAAAAAAAGTAAACGATACATCAGTGTAAATTCATAACAAACCAGGCCAGAATACAAGTGACAATCCATAGGAGTGGGGAAAGGACATAGAGGGGAGGCAGTTGCTAGGCTGACAGGTGGGGGAGAATCTGTGTTCATTCTTTCCTTGACCTGAGAGCAATTGTGTCCCATTTATTTCTCACAACACTGATGTCCTGCATATTATGCAACTAGCATAATTATGCATATAATTATAGTCACCTTTGGATTATTCAAATTACAAAGATACAAATCATATGAAATATCTGTGAATGAATACAGTGATACTGAGTATTCACACTTCATTAGGCACTAAAGATAATATGAGTATTTACTTATGTACACCATTAGACCTATCATTTTTCAATATTTCAGTCACTTTATATGCTGCTAAATTTATCACATATAAATTGCTTAGATGGTAGAAAAGTGATATTGGAAAGGATATGTCACAGACTCTATGTAGCCTCTGCAAAAGGAATGTCATGATAGCTACAAGAGATGCAGGTGGGATTATGAGAGAGCATGTAAAGCACATATCACAAGTTTCTAAATTCAACTATGAGTATTTTAAAAAGTTTAATAGTTCAAATGTTGTGCTATTTTCCCCATGTATAGATAATCTACTCAATGACAACTGGGAACTGGTTGTAATTTTAGAACTGAGCATCACAGCTACATTAACTTTTGGGTGCACAAGGCTAGTATCCACTAATAAAGAATAGTGCATGCTTACAGCAGAAGGATGAAATTTTTGGTTTTAACTACTGAGTTATGAATTTATGCTAGCTGCCTTTATTTATATATTTCTTTAGATTGCAGTTCTCTTAAATGAAGTGCTACGTGTAGATCCACCATTTTATTATTTGGTAAAATTTGCAAGTAACTGTCCTTAAACTGTCAATCATATATGCATGAGACATCTCCTTTAGTTATTGTAACAGTCTGATGTGCTGCTTGGATTCCGTTCTCTTCTGAATAATTTAACACAGGAAATAATATTTTATTCAAAATGCTAGAACCAAACTTTGAAATTAATTTAAATTTAAGCAACTTATAAAATACAGAAAATACTGTTGCTCCAAGCCAATGACAACTGTCATTAGAATTTTAACATGTACTTCCTGAAATCTTTTCATTTCATTATGCCATACATTCATGGATCAGATCCCAGCATGTTCAAATTATTGGCTTCATTTAAGAAGAACCCTTTTAATTTGTTTGTAATTTATTTGGGGACACAATTAATGAAATGTATTCTAATATACCAAAATGGTGGACTGAAAGAAAAGAAGCAATGAAGTACAATATTTGTTTTTTTGTAATCAATATTTAGCTAATGCACATATTTACTGAGGACAGATTAAAGCAAACATAAAGATGATTCAGAATTTACAATTCCCAAAACACGTCGTACAACACACACGAACAGTTGCATTTGGTCTGGAAGTCAATGTGTCAGATTGATTAAAAATATCTGTAATTGTCTTCAAGATATGACAAAAATCTTGAGGGAGGAGAAACCGGAATTTCCAAACCTCTGTAACCTATTGTGAAGTTAGTTACAACTCAGAAAGTCCTCTTTATAACACTGTAGAGTTGAATGGAAACCCTGGCATAAACCCTGTGAAAGATGCTTATCAAGTAATAAAAATATGAACAAATAACAACCAGCAGACATAACAAATGATGCTCACGCACAATGGAACCATTTTTATCAGAAATAATACAACCAATCAACACACTACCTGACTCTACTCTGAGCAATATTAATATAAATAAAGTATTAACCAATGAGTAAAACTGTAAAAAAGATTGTTGTACCATGGATTTATGTTAAAATGGAACAATGTTTGTTTGAAACATACATATTGAGACAATGTCATATGACCTCAATATTTATCACCACATATATATACCTCTGAATTCCATACTGATAGGCACATATTACGCATGATAAAATCATGCTAATGTTTTTGTTTTACTTCATTTTTACTCACAAGTTAACATAACTATGAAAATCACAATTTACTTTCATAAAACCATGCACTTTCTAACATCAATAAGCTTCTTCAAAATTTGGATAGAAATATGTTTTTCATACATATTTTGAAGAAGATCCTGATGCCAAAAATGATTATGGCACACAGCAATAATATCAGTTTAAACCAGTCAGACTGACAACATTGCAAAATATGATATCTGCATTCTGATCAGAGTGACAACATTACAAAGTGAGATGTCTGTATAAACCCTTGTCTTGTGGTAAGGGCCATGTAGTTGCACTTATTTAGTTCTTTGTGTCATGTTAATGGTAACAGTATGAATCATATGATGACAGATGTTTGATGAAGATATGCAGGTACTTCTAAACTATCGTTATTCTTCTTTACATCATAATTCATCAAAACAGTTTTACTTCCTTATTAAAGGACTTCTTGCGTAGTTAATAAAACTTAACATCACTGTCACTTTGCTGTGAAGAGAATTATGCACTTCATATGCGACATTCTATACCGCTGGCAATTTCCTTTACCACAATTGTCAAGCAGACATATACCAGACTATGACAGTGAAAATTCTGCGAGTGGATTGAAGTCTTTTTGATGCGAGCTATTGGCAGCTCGTCGGTAGCCCCAGTAGTGCATTGCTGGGGCACAGGCCCTCTGTATAGCTTTTACTTCTGAATATGTAAGGTCTTGGCGCCAATGGAAAGGAGCAGATTTGGAGTTACGGTAAGTACTTGACACACCACCCACATTCACTTTCGTATGTGTGTCTAGGAAAAGCTGAATGTTAGGATGGAAGTCCAGTCCAAAAAATTGGAAAAGGTCTTGAACACCTTTGTGTGGATCCACAGAGAGATCTTCATATCGTACAGCCCTGTAAAAAGCAATGAACTTAACTGAAGGAATCCTACTGGTTGTCTGAAAATTATAGAGTTAGGGAATTTAAGTTTTCAGTCAGTAGCCACAAAGTGGTATTTGTTTTGAAAAACCATGTTTCTCAAATACCAGTGTCATGATGTTCTATCATCTGCCAGTGACAAAGACCTCACTTTTAATAATAGAAATTACAGCATTTTACAGACATCTGTAGGACACTCTTAGGATTCCTGTAACCAAAAATACGAGGGTTGTACTGAAAGTCATGAGCAACAATTTTTTTTTAAAGTAACATGCTTTATTATTGACAAACCAAATACACCACCTCAATCTACACACCTTTCTTTATTTTTCCACATAATTGTCACTTCTTTGTACACATTTCTCCCAGTGTTCTGGGAGTTTGAAAATCCCCCTTCTGTAAAATTCTGTTCCAGCCATCCAAAGACACTGGCGCACTGCTTTCAGAATTGCCTCCCTTGTCTCAAAACGTTGTCCAAGCAGCTGATCCTTCACAAATCCGAAAAGATGGTAGTCAGAGGGTGCCAGATCAGGGTTATAGGAGGGGTGTGGAAGAACTTCCCACCCCATCTTTGCAATTGCTTCCAATGTGAGGTGAGTGGCATGGGGGCGAGCATTGTCATGCAGGATGATGATGTTTCGTCCCGGACGTTTAT